AGTAAAAGTAAAGTAAAAGTAAAGTAAAAGTAAAGTAAAAGTAAAGTAAAAGTAAAGTAAAAGTAAAGTAAAAGTAAAGTAAAAGTAAAGTAAAAATCTCTCACTAAGATAAATACTGGAAATTGATGCTCTAACATAGTTCAATTCCCTGCCAGGAAGCAGCTTTAAAAGAATTTCCCAGCACAACACCATAATAAAGTCAGAAGACACAAATAAAAACAAAACAATACAACAACAACAGAAAAATCTCTCAACTAAAATACAAGGTTTTAGTTCAAAATTAAAAAGGAAAAGGAAAATAAAAAGAATAAAGGGCTTGGTACAGGTTTTAATGAAGGAAGGTCCGTATTCTTTTGTTTCCTTTTTATTTCTAAATATTAAGCCAGTATTTAGGCCTTGTTAAGTAAATTACACTTCTGTAAAGACATACTCATGTTCCTGTCCATCAAAAGCCAAACAGAAATATAATACTGGCATGAAAAATTCCCTTGAAAATTTATTTCTACCCCCTTATGAAACATGTCACTTAAGTTCTTTTTCTTGTCGTAATTTCGCAAGTCCAAAGATTAAATCCCACATTTTGGACTTTATTAAAAAAGACCAAGAGGCTAAGCGAGACAGAAATAAAAGCCATGTAAGATTCCATAATGCTGATTTATGTTGGGGAAATAGGAAGAAAGGGGAGGTCTGAGATCACCCCAGCAGTATATAAAGCACAAAGGCCAGACCATAGCGCGCTCTGCACCGTCATCCCTCTTTCCGAGAGGGATTATTACCTTAAGCAGAGGGACATTGCTTGCAGATCTGCACTGAGTGCCAAGTTCCCATAATTGTATTTCTCCAGCATCAAGTAAAAGCCCCATTAGTCCTCAACAAGCTACAAACAGTGCATCATTTATGAGCATCATCACCAGCTTGTCTTTGAAAACATTTGCTTGTGAATTTTGAGATTCTGGATTAGCTATTTTGAACTGAAAGCTGTGGAAAAAAAACTCCATCTCAAGGACCTGTTTGGACCAGGCCTAGTCTATACTGCATTTTTAGGCTTAGAACATGCCCTAGAGCTTTCAAAATAAGCCTTACATTGTTTAGAAATCTGCTCCTTAAAAAGTTGCCTAATATAAAGAAAATACATCTGTCACACACAGAGATAGGGGCATAATTCCACACTCACTTGAAAAGAACTGCAACAACTTAAAACACTGCTGTCAGCTGAGACATTATGCCTGATCATAACACTGGGTGCTTAATATTTAATTTTACAGCAGCAAAAAGTATGCTTCATTGGGCCACGTATGCCTGAGCTAACCACGCACATTTGCCACAGATGTATCAAAGAACCTTGCAAGAATCCCAGGCCATACACTGCCCAGAAGGCCAGGGGCAGGAGAGCTCTGGAAAACACAGTGGCATTGTTAACTGAACACACAGATGCTGAATCTCACGTAAAAGGCAGTTTGTGAAAATGCGACTCATTCAAATGACAAGAATAATTATTAAAAACAAAAGTTTTCAGCCATCTAACACCTTTCTACTCTTTCAAATACTTTTTTACTTTCTTCTACAAATGCTAATTCAAAAGTCAAGAGAGAGACTTTCAGCCTACATGCAACTTATGTACAAGCACCCTTCTTTATAGAACAGCACAAAACCAAACCTATGGCAATGCGTAARTTTTCCCACAGAAGTGTGTACTCCTGAAGTCACATCCAAGTTGGGAGAGGAATTTGCTCTATATGTGAAGCCAACCAAGTAACAATATTCAGAACTAATACTTCTTTAAAATAAAATACGGTTACAACAACACAGAAATGAGCTCACTGAACAGCCTATGTCTGCCAAAATAACAGACATTAACCCTGAAAAATACCAGCACAAAATACACTCCCCAAATCCTTCAACAGATCTCTCTTGAATATACGTGCGTGTGCTCGTGTTTACACATGCACATATCACTTAATTGTTTACTTGACATTTATTTGCCCCAAACTTACTTTATCTCCAGTTAAGTACTTTTTAACACAGTAAATAGGAGTATAACAAAACAATAGTTGCTGAAAACCACAAAATTCCATGGCAAACAGGACCTAAACCAAACAAAATTAAACAAACAAAGTTTTYGTGCCCAAGTCTTGAGGGGTTAGGGGATATACAAATGTAAAGAGCCATATCCAATTCTCCCAACCAAAAGCATTTGTGATAACTTCTGGAGATACACAGCACTAAAAAGTCACTATCTCAGATAAATCTTTTGCAATGCTTCTTTCTTCTTGCATCCAAAACTCTGCCTCTTTCACCAGCACCCCGGCCATGTTTAGCTGCCAACTGCTTTCCATGAGTCCCGTGAACAGCAAGTATTCTGCACTGCTGCACTACCATGGTTCACGTAGGTTTGCAATGCGACACAGAACACACTTCAGGACATTTATAAAACTACTTCTGAAACATGTACATATTTCAATATGCATATGTGAGGGGGGGGGGGGRAGGAAAAACAACCAATTTGCCTATAAACCTAAGTATCAATAGGATTAGTTGGCTTTAGAACTGAGTTCTGTTGTCATAAAACTATGTTTTTTCTTTCCTATGGATGSCAACAAAAGAAACCAGGAGCACAATTAGATTATCTGAGAAGAAGCCTGAAATAATTACATAGCACTARGCCTAGCTATTGAATGAAATCAGAAAGAACAAAAATGAAGACATTAACTACAAAACATATATGGGAAGCAGATTAAAGAAATTGATAAGGGATAAAAGCTCTAAGAGCAAGTAATTTGTTCCAAAACCAAAATTCTGTATTCCTTCTCCCTCTTCCCCATTTTTGGGGCAACAAAAAATAGTTTTGTTTTTGTAAATAAAGAATTTTTGTTCTCATTTTAGGATGCAATGCTTTTTCTTTATAATTCTTTTGCCTATATATAAACATATTTTTATATTTCCTAAAACAGACTATTCATTTTTCTCTGCTTCGTTCATGCAATGCTCTTATCCATGGTACAAAAGCCTCCTCCAAGACATCAGTGTTAAAGTA